AACTTTCAACTGCCCCCCCCCCCCGAAAAGGTCAGTCCCGTTCTCCTATGAACCTATTCAGAAAGTCATCTCTATTGTTTTTTGCGTAAGGCCAAAAAAAAATGTGGGTTTCCGGTTTCCCGACCCTACCTAGCTTTCCGATCTGCCAAAATCCCGACCCTAAACTTTTTTTAAAAAATGGAAATTTGAGGCAACATTTGCAATATTAGGGAAATTTATCTTTGAATGTGGAAGCACCGATTAAATAAAATGGCGTCCAGTTGTTAGGAAAATTTAAAAAAAACGTTAAAACCGACCTACCCTGCTTAAGTTTTTACAAGAAAAAATAGGAAACCCACATATTTTTTTGGCCTTACGCAAAAAACAATAGAGATGACTTTCTGAATAGGTTCATAGTTGATTTTTCCTAGCATTTGCCCGAATTTCCATGGGTTTTCAAAATTGGGGGGGGGGACTCCCCCCCCCCTTGACTCGTACGCCTATGAATGGGTTAGTATTTTGTATAGGTACAATAGAGATGAATTTATGTACAGAAAACAATAAAGAGGACTTTCTGTATAGGTTCATAGTATTACGTTTCGCTTTTCACTACATGACCTAATAAACAATCCCTAAAATTAATGTTGCACGGAATGACGACTTTTAAATATGCAAATGTTAATGTATAAACACGTGTATTATTATTAAATATTTATAATAAACACGGAATTTTAATTTTCCGGCACAACAATTTGCATTAAAAATTGTTCCGTGCATAAACAATAGTCATCACCTTAAAGAATTTCACATAAACAATTGAATGATAGCAAATACACTAATAATCGCTTACCTTGTATAAATCTTAAAATTTATTAGCACAATCCCGCAAAATATTGGGGACGCCATTTTGCCAAAATTGAAGCGCTAGATGGTTGTGTTTGTACAACCGCTGTTAAAAGTTCACTGGCCTTTGATCAAATCAAAGGTGTACAATCGTCAAATCAAAGGTGTACAATCGTCAAATCAAAGGATCATTATCATATTAAATGTACACTGTAATCATATTAAACGTGTACAGTCATCGTATTAAATGTGCACATGATCATCTATTAGACAAATCATCGATTTGTCCAATCTACCGCGCAGGGGCGTAGCTAAGGTCAGCTAAATGCTAAATCAGTTGTCGGAAAAATAAATTGGATCAAGCTAAATCAGTTGTCGGAAAAATAAATTGGATCAAGCCAATAGGCAATAACCTGATTGGAGAGAGATTGTTTGTAGAAAATTTGTAGAAAATGCGAGATCGAAAAGATGGATATGTCGACTGAAAGCTCGGCTCTTTTTCAAACATTCAGCTAAATTGGCCAAGAACTTATTACGCTAATACGCTTTTTAATAGTATACGTATTATATTTTCTTGCAATTTTGTGAAGTAGGCCTATACCATAGCTAGGAAATTCGAAGCACATGTGCGTGTTGACTGTCGATGCGCCTGCGCTTCATTTCATAATCTTGTAAAGCCAGTAAAGGTCTTAGAAATTACACTTAACGGTCTTTCATACAATGAGAAATACGGAGATGATTTAAAAGTATGGACAGTAGCAAGCAAAAACGCAAACGGAAGAGAGAGAAACTGACGTGTTTAGTTTGTAATCGGTCGTTTGATGACGAATGGATGTGCTTTTTCCATTTTTTTCGGAACTATTTCGCCTATTTTAAAAATAAATTAAAATAAATTTTCTTACTATACTCGGAGTTAATCGTTGTACATCACTTAAAAATGAATACGGTACGCTTTGACCACGCCCTAACCGCGCGCTAGCCACGCCCTTTTGTCGGCAAAAAGTTGTCTTGCACCCCCCGAAAACGATAGTCTTCGCTCCGCCCCTGCAGTGAGTACCGCGCCATATATTCAACCGTATATATCTGTTACAGTGATAATAATATACATAAAAATATTACTCGACTGTGATTGGTTGATTTCAGTGCAATTAATCTCAAACAGCTAGCAGTGTAAAATTCTGTAACAACGGTGCAAAACTCTGTAGCAAGCAACATTGCAAAAATCTGTAACAAACTGATCTGATTGGTGGAAAAACAATGCCGGATCTAAAATCAACCAATCAGCTTAAGTTACGGTCACAGATTGCTTCAAAACAAAACAAACATGGCGGTCGCGCCACAAAAGTAAAAGTAAAGTAAAAGTTAAGTTCGGGAAAGTTCGGGTGGAAAATATGGCATTTATCTCTTTTTAAAACGGAAAAGGTTTTATCCATAGAAATATTAGACCTGTCTATTATTTCCATGGTTTTACCCTAAACAAGACCATGCAGCAAAACTTACATATTTGAGTTACGACGTTAGCGTTGTATAACAGGGCCTTTTTTAACATACAAGCTGGGGGGGGGGGAATGCCCTCCCAGTCCCCCCTTGTGCCCCCCCACGAAATCACATTTTGCCCCCCAGGAAAAGTCCCTTTTTCCTAAATTTATACAAACAATCTAGCAAAGATTAACAAATAGATAAACGGAAAGTAAGTTTTAGGCTTTATCCTTTGTTCTTGTTTAACAAAATCGATTTAAATTGTTACGTTTCTCCACCACTAAGTAGTTATAAATTATTGATAATAATATTTTTTATTTTTTGGATGCTCAGAATGCAGGAAATAACATTTCCGGGTTTCAAATTTCAAAAATTTTCTGGGGATTATCCCTCCAATAAGTAATGCTAAATTACGGTTAATATTCTTTTTTACCTTTTGTGCATTATTTCCTTCTTTTATTTCAAATACAACTATAGTTAGCATAAATTTTAGAGCAAATTTGAATGCTCAGAATGCAGGAAATTGCATTTCCTGGTTTCAAATTTCAAAATTCCGGGTTTCAAATTTCAAAAATTTTCTGGGGATTATCTCTCTAATACAGGTAAGTAATGATAAATTACAGTTAGAATGCAGAAAATGGCATTTCCATGCTTCACATTTCAAAAATTTTCTGGGGAGTATGGCCCCACACATGTGACCATTGCTATCCTCCTCTAATAAGTAATGATAAATGATGGTTAATTTTAACTTTTTGTGCGTTTTTTCCTTTATTTATTTCAAATACAAGTATAGCTAGAATAAATTTTGGAGCAAATTTGGATGCTCAGAATGCAGGAAATGACATTTCCGGGATTCAAATTTCAAAAATTTTCTGGGGGAGTACACCCCCAGACCCCCCATTCATGCGTGGTATATTGGCCAGACACGTGGTTTTCAGCCATTGCTATCCCCCTCTAATATATTATCTCACAGAAAGATCCCTTTTCAAAAATGCCCCCCCACGGGAAAATCCTTAAAAAAGGCCCTGTTGTATAATGTATATAACAAGGCAGGAAAACTTTGTAAGTTAAAACTACAATTGTCTCGAACATATTTATATATATTTTACTATATTATTAATACGTAATAGGATGGTTTCTCGTGAAATTTGGATTAAACAAGCACTCGTTTCAAATAGCATTCGTCCTTCGGACTCGTGTTATTTTGATGCTCTTTGAAAAACTCACTCATGCAGTTTTATTCAAATTGCACTCGAAACCTATACTGAGCAGTTGACGATTTCCTCAGTGAAAAAACAATAGTTACAAAATAGAAATACTATCTACCAATATATGCATGCTATACTAGAACAATAAAACGAGACAAATGCGAACATCTTGTCATTTACATATACATGCAAGGAGTATATTGGTCTGAAGCAATATGGATTTGAATTGTTGCGGAAACATTTTAAAATTTTGATGTACCCTCGAATGTTTTTCCTTTTGCCCACCCTTGATACCGTTGCCGTTGGTAGGAAAACACATTTAATTTGCTTCGATCCCATGCAGAAAGCCAAAATGATTCCCAACAAATTCAGAAACATGCATTATTTCCAGTATATAAATTATATTCTTTGCCTTTGGGGAAAGAATTAATGTTTTTAATATTAAATCCCCTGCAATGTCTGTGGTTTCTGTGGCCAGTATATAATATTCTCCAAAATTGTGACGTTCAATCATGCATAAGGTCGACAACCTTACGGTGACGTCATGCTTTAACCTCTGACGATAGCTAGAAATAATTCTCCGTTGCATGCATGCATGTACATGTTGCTGTCGCGTTTATGTTTTGTATTGTTTTGCCATAGTTTCGCTTCAATATTGATACCATTCACAATGGTTTAAGAATTAAGGTCGCCATTTCATCTTCGAGACTTCGGTATAGATTAATTTTATGTCTAATTCATGCTATCGTCTATGATTTTCTGTAGGAAAAAGTGGTCTTTCTTGATCTCCACCATCAGATGACACTGGTGTTGTTGGTGAAATATTTTGTTTCAGTTTATTGCGAGCTTTATCGTATGTAAGTTCTTTTTTAAGATGACTGGAAGTGAAGCCACGTGAATCTGACTGCACCACAGTTTTTTGTTTTGAAACTCCTGCATCGTTGACCCGCTGACCGTCCACAACCTCGCCATTTAGGAAGTTTGCTACTTCACGTCTCTAAAAATAAATAATCATTAAAGTTAGCATATTTGTAAAAACATGCAACACATTAGTACATTCGAAATTCGTGGGTTCGATTCTCACTACGGACTCATAGTGCTCGCATAGACCCATGCATAGACCCACGCTCTGCCGAAAGTCGTGGGTTTTCTCCGGGTGCTCGGGTTTCCTCCCACAATGTGGAAAGTTGACAGGGTGGGTTAGGATAAACACAGTTAAGAAAGTATTATCACAATTGTGGTAAAGATAAAATAGTCTATCGTATAAATGGCCCTATTGCTATTGTTCTTTTCTATTAATTTTTGTTGTGGTTGTTGCAGTAGCCGGATTGTTGTAGCAGTAGACGGTTATATTGTTGTAATTGCAGTTGATAGTGGTCCATGACAGTGCACAATTACGCATTCGTCTAGATCTTTAACTTAATTCTATACATCTTGTCAACATAAGAATGTATGAAGCCAAATTTTATAGGAGATAGGATCATCAAAAATGCAATATCAAATCGATAGTAACTTATTTTGTCCAGAAAACAAAACAATTGCACTTTGGCAATGGTTGATCAAAACTATAAAAAGCTATGGTACTATGTGCAGTACTTTTAGTTAATTTACTAACTTTACAACATTACAGTTTAACCGGCGGTGGTTTCAGTGTGCGGTTAACATTACAAGATTCGAAGACGAAGTAAATTTGAAACAAATTTGTTATCAGACGGAGGAGCAGATGTTTTTCCAACTTGCATGAATTACAAGATAAAACATGTCTATTTCCATCGCGTTAATCAAGATAACCACTTTTGAATCAAGAAATATGTTTTCTATCTAAAGGTATATACAATGCACCACTTTAGAAATACTCCAGGGTTTGAGACAGTCATATCTAGTGAGGGAAATATTGGGCCGAAGGACAGCTTGTGTTCCCGTTTGGTAATTATATTTGCACATATTAATGAACATGCAGAGTGAATGTAAATAAAAATGGAGGAAACAATGAATATATTCCGATCGACAGTTGTAAAAACTGTATAGTTTACGACGCACTGCATGGCAGTCTCTGCAGGGGTTTAATACGTGTAACGTGCGGTTGTTTCATATACGTATACACTATACAATTTATAAACTTTCTGTATTTCTATAAGTTTGTTCACTCGTTTGTACCTTAAACAACATGCAAGGAACGTTCCCGTTAAACATCTGGACAGCCATGTTTTGTCTCCCATAATCCTTGATCAAGATATAATAACTTCAATTTTCATTATCGTTTGGTCGGAAGCGCGTTATTACATATTCATGAACACTTGGTATCAGAATCGACTAAACAAAAAACATAATATTCGAGAGCAGCTGCAGTTTAAACCAACCGGCATCACGAACAAAGTTTACAAATGATAATCCATTTAATATAAGGTACGTTTTCTCTATAAAGACGTGTGTTACTCAATTATAACATGACTAACGTCTTATATATGTTACTATAAAATAGTAGTATGTTTATTTCAGTTTGCTTCAGTACATATAAATTCTGATTCGTATAGCTCTTATCATTGATGTCGTGTAAGAGATTCTAAACTAGAGATTCTAGTATACTTATTTAAACTAAAACACAACTTTTACGTTTTGCCCTTACAACCGCGATTTAACTGTCAACATATTTTCTCAAAGTGTATAACGGATTTGGCTGACATGCAAGAGTTGGTAATAGTGACTATATTTTTCCCGCTCTGTTCAGCTTCTTCAGGGTTGTGTTCAGTCTATATGTGAATTGACGTATACAACAAAGTCCCAAACAGCATTTTAGTTGAAAATCTGTATGAGTATGTGGAACCATCACACTGCATGCATTTATTTAGACATGTTATTTAATTTTGTTAATAGAAATGCTTGAGATACTTTGCCATTAGCTCTAGGCCTACGTTTATAACTAAGGAAAGGGTATAAAGGTAGCCTAATAATGAGCCATTATATACCGAATTACAAGTACAGTAGGCTATAAGTAAATTCAGTGAGCCTATATTATTTTATCAAAATTAATCAGGGCGGTAGAAACTATACAATTTTGTCATAAAATACATTTTGTTTCAATATACTTTTAAAATTATACACGCGATTATGAACCTATACATTTTGTAGCTGTAGCCTGCAGGTAGGTAACTGTTACAGTGTTAGCTAAGGTTATTATGCGGCAGCTCCTTCTGAGACTATATGCTATGCTTTTTTAAAGCCAAATTTGAATAAATTCAAGATAATCTGGCTCCCTTTCCTAAACTGCCTCAGCGAATCATTTTCTGTTATCGCTGCCTGTTATCGTGTATTCTTCCAGCCTCTCTTACAATTTGAATAACAAATGCTGATGTCTTAAAACATCTTAAAATTTGTAAACAAATATTAGGCTAGTGTTCATAGTAATCTAAGTCTAGGATCGTCTTTATTTTGTCATTTTTTGTGATCGTCTTTATTTTAGCAATTCCTGCCCTCTTTGTTTTTATATTCCCTTTCCTTGATTTGCAATATTTGTCATTACACCAAGTATTATATATATGTACCATGCATGCATGCACATTGAATTTACGTATACTGTCTTCTTGATCCTTAACTGACACTCTTTACTTCAAATCCAAACTCTTTTCCTCTTCTTCTATTCCATCTACCATCCATTCTATTCAAAACAATTATCCAATAGACGTACAAGTGTTTGTAATTCTGGGTAGCAAATTATAACTGTTTGACCTTATATGGTAATATGATGTGTTCTAAGATAGCAAAAGCTAGAACATGTCGATAATTAATGTTTCATTTTGGATCCAATCTCTCACTGGAACTTTTCGCCATCCTGCGAAAGTTGACGTAATGACGCTTTCAGTTTACGATATAAGAACATGATAAAACAATATGGGTTTCTCTATGTTTTAGTAAAGATACAAACAAATATTCACATGGAGACCTGATCACTGACATTCACCTTTGTCAATGAAGGAATCGCATCACATTTCGTGAATCACATTTGTATATTGAATAGCGAACAGTAGGTATATCGTTTTTGCAGCTTCATATCCTTTAACGTCAGACTATGTTATTGAGGCAATTGTAAATACACCTAATAACAAAAACGTTATCCTTTCAGATAGAAAGATGTTTAGAATGAATCATATAAGTCATACTTGGTTGACAATGAAGGGAAATGTCGAAATTATTTATTGTATGGTTGTTAACAATTTTCATCTTTCCTGTGTAGATAAATTGCTTGGTCGAATTTCTTTCTGTACTAAAGTTAAGGTATTTTGACTTATATTGTTTTCCATATCAAGAGAGCTCGGCATGCTTATGTTAAATATACAACATTAACCACGTTTTAAATACATTATTTAAAAGAAACGACCGCTGCTGTCCCTTATAATTAATGACAACTGCTTGATACTGACGTCTAAACTATATAGGGAACATTGTTGAAACGTGTTGTTAACGATGAGATTTTTAATATTGTACTTCCACATCTATACTTTAATGAAACCACAAATGAAGGCATTAATTAGGACTATAAGACATCCTTTTACATCTCAATGACTTTTAGATCGATAGAGAATTTTAGCTTTTTAAATTTTAAATTGAACTTCTACTGTAGAACTTTTACTTTTTTATAAATTGTTGTATAATACTTAAATGAACATATGTATTTTATATATCAAAGCTCCTGTTGATAGCAGTAACATTTCTGTCGCTGATGTAGGACTACTCTGCATAAATGAAGGTGTGTAATCTTATCTTACGCACATCTCGCGTAAGTATATAGTTGATGAATAAAACGATATTCATAATCATCTGAACTGAACTCGGTATAATTATTTGACCTTCATATATGAAAAATAATTATTTGTCAAATAATTATTTGTCTGTGTCTATAGTAGATGTGTATATCTTGTGTTTCATACGGACTTATATAGAGGCATGTGTATTTGCTTTTCACGCAAAAAAATAAATCAAGTAAGTATTGGATGAAAGTAACCGTGATTATCGTGTCCTACGCCTCGGTTATATAAGATATTTCGCAAATTATTGCGCCAACCTCAACTAATGGGTACGTACTAGTGCCTAGTGGTCTTGAGTCCATTTTTTACTGACAGCTGACTCATCACTACTCGGATTACAGTATCTAAGTTTATCATCATGTACCATCAACGCCTATGTCTACTATGTTTTCCCGTTATATAAGTAAGGTAAGTGTTGTCAGCCTCCCTTATATCGCCGCACTGGGGTTATGAAATGCAAAAACATATTTTGGCCGCCATTATGCACTCTCATTAAATTTGTGTGCAGTCGACGTTGCATTCTGTTTGCAAAAACAAAAATTAAAGTTGTGTCATACAAGAACAGATGGTGTTCATCGTTGTGTGATGAAGGATATTTCAATTTAGATGTTATAGTATAGAATACTAACAGTCATTTGAACTAAACATATAGAGCTCATGCACGTGGCAATGGAGTGTGTCGAATGCATTGAAGAAAATTGGAAGAAAATTGGAAGGTTAGCTCAATATAAACGGGTATTTTTGTAAGACCTGTTTAATTAAACAAGAGCATCTATTCAATTCTGGGGGCGAGGGAAACGCATCCCCCTCACTTTTTGAACATTCGTAATATAATCTATAATATGCGTAATATTATCTATAATTATGCCCGTTATTTAACAATTATTCGCCGAAGGCGAGGTGAATAATTGTTTTAGTATAATTTCATAGGTGATTATTTGGAAAAAAATAAAAAATACACATTTCTTCGTCATTTAATTGACAAAACGGCTTCGGCCGCCATTTTGAAAACCGCTTAGGTGATTATCGCGTAATAATCACCTCAACGGCAACCAATCAGCGTGGAGAATTTTCAATAATCACCTATGTAATTATACTAAAGTCCGTTAGTTGGAATGAATTTTCGCTTATCTTGCATTGTTGGATACAACACGTCCAGTCTGTGTGAACATGCATTAATTACTTTTATATACAGTCCCTGTATATTTAGTATGTCATAAAGTATGTTTGAAAAATTGACAATGTCCCTCCATCTTATTGCAACTGAAAATATTCATCTTTGTACAAGAATCTTAAAGAATCAATTCACTAATTTCCTTTTATGTTTAGACGTAATTATCTGTTTATTTTATTGCTATATTTACTAATTCCTTTTGGCAGAGTTTTTCATTTTCTAGAATGAAGAATATAAACAATGTTTCTACATATACGAAGATCACTGACTTGTACTGCATGTATGTAGTTAAAACTAAAAAAATAGTGAAACATCGTTAATTGTTTTTATGTGCCATATTCAACCAAGGTAATTTAAGAGGTTTTAATTAACGTGGAGTTCTTCAGTGAGTATGTGAGAGGCGTGTGCGACCCTAAGTTAGTTTAAAAGTGCAATTTCAATAATAATTTTTGTACAAAATTAGCAGGGCTATCAGAGAAATTCGGGGACCCAGGGCAAATATTTTTTTCGAGGGCCCTATTTTTCCAAAAAATGTTGGCGAGCGGGGGTAAATTTTTTTTTTGGGGGGGGAGGGGTAAAAATTTTTCCGAACATTTAAAAAAAGGTCAAAAAAATTTTTTCCGGACATTAAAAAAAAGGGTCAATAAAATTTTTCCGGACTAACATCAGTTAAGTTAAGGGTCAAAAATTTTTTTACAGATAAATCTGCAAAATTTAGGAACCCGTCATTATTTATGGCGGGGTGGGGTGGCACCGGAGAGAAAAAGGTTGTGTAATCAAAATTTTGAGTAAGTAAAAGGTTGGGTAAATGAAAAACAAAACAACTCAAGGGTTGGGTAATAAAAATTTATTGTCATTTCCAAAGCATGACTCACTGAAATATTGGAGACTGAAAAGCAATGTCAACAGTCATTTGTCAATACAATACGTGAATCAATCAGAGTCACTATCTCTTGATCATTTTGACAAAACAAATGGTGTTTCCAAAGAAAGTGCATGTGCAGACAACATGAAACTTTAGACTGCAGAAAATTTCACAAGCCGTTATCAAACTCATGTCATAGAAGTGGTACAAGACATGTGTGACAACTGAATGGTATCCTTTTGTAAAGTTTTTGGCCAGGGGTGGGTAATTATTTTTCAATTTATATTTGAGGTTGGGTAATCAATTTTTTGTCTTTTTAATGGTTGGGTCAGCAAAATTTTTGCTACGAAAAACATTTCTCTTCGGTGCCATCCCCCACCATAAAGAATGACCGGTCCCTTAGGTTTAGAAAATTTTTCTCAACCATTATTTATATCAAAAAACGTTCCACATTGTTTTTTTCCCAAATTTGGGGGCCCCCTCACACTGGGGGCTCGGTGCTAATTGCCCCCTCTGCCCCCCCCCTCTGATAGGCCCTGGAAATTAGAATCAATAAATGGCTATCGGAAGTATCTGGAATGTATTGGCAAGGTAAGTCTTCAATATTAAACACGAGCATATTGTCACAGACTTCTTGGTTTTTCCTATGATTTTCCAATGATTTTGGCGTAACCGTAATTCGTCATCAAAATGCTGACGCCATGGTCCTATAGCCAGTGCGCGTTTCATAGGCATTCACCCCCTGATAATAGACAGATTTAGATCGGGCCCAATTTCTTCGGAAGGAATTTCTCTGGAATTGCTGAACGTGCTAAATATTTGGGAATATTGTGAAAAATTGAGGTCGAAAAATTCTGAAGATCGTATTTTTAATCCCCTTTTATCCAGACAAGGTTAGGAAAATATTTTTTGGACCTTTTATTTTCAGGAAAACTTATACCCCCCCCCCCCAACATTTTCCGGAAATTTTTTTTTCGGGGGCCCCAAAAGGAAGGGGCCCCAAACGTTTGAATTCAGCCCCCCCCCCCCAAGACATTCGGTCGGCACGTCTCTGCTTCCAGCACTGTAAAACATCCTAATTGTATCCTCTCTCAAATTTTAGTGCATTATATTAATTGTACCCTTTTAATTATTTTGTTTATATTTACTTTAAGTGATAGTTCATGCCATTTTTGCGACATCTATTTCTGGCCATGTTATATAACAGGTTGTACTATACTCTATAACCTTTTTAAATAAATATCTGTGACAGTTATACATTTTCAGTCGTAAAAACCCTGCAAGGTAATGTAACTCAATGGCTTCGTGGATCGCTGCATAAAGAATAAGATGGATTCTGGATATGTATGTCCATGCCTCAGCAATTCAAACCGACTGAGGAACTGATGATTGTTTGGTTGATAAAATGTATACTGATGCATGTATTGTCTATTTGTCTGCTTCTGATTACTAACGACGCTAAAGGTGGCTCCCTATAGTGCTAACAACCGTATAAGTAACTATGTGGTCATGATTAATTGCGTGTATGACGTTATAAATATAATTGTGGAGACATGACTCAACGAAAGGGAAACATGCACATTACTTTGTCATGGTAACAATGACGTTCAACGCTTCTTTTTGAGATTGAATAATTTGAGTTTGCTTCAAGCATTGGATTATTCCATTTAATATCCGCTCCCCCCTGTCGAGGATACTTGTTTTTCATAGGTATACCTTTGAAGAACTCCAAGCTCAAAATCTTTTACCCTTGAAGAATTCCAAAATTCCAAGTTCAAAACTCCTTACCCCTGAAGAATTCCACGCTCAAAACCCTTCTCCCATCCATGACGAATTCCAAGCTCAAAACCCTTTACCCCTGAAGAATTCCAAGCTCTGAAAAATTTCAATTGTAAACCTCTTTACCCCTGAAGAATTCCAAGCTCAAAACCCGTTACCCCTGAATAATTCCAAGCTCAAAACCCTTTCCCCCTGACGAATTCCAAGCTCAAAACCCTGAAAAATTCCAGGGATCCTCGACAAGTGGGATATTAAATGGAATAGCCCATTAAACATTAGGGCCTCGATGGGTAATTAAACATATGTGATATGGAATAAGGTTAATATATAGGTTATCAAGGCAGATCTTTGCCACATAATTCACTGTTTTGAGAAATTCTTTGAAAATGTAATTAATATGCTCTTGTAGTTATGTTCATTCATTTTACAACATTTTAAATAAAATCACCCAAGCGAAACACTTAAATTTTGATTTTTTTCTCGCGCGGTCGCTCCTTGAGGTGACAAATTTCGATTCGACATGATTAATATTTACCTATGTGTGAAGTTTATCACCCGACAAACGCGTGTTTGTTTGCATTGACTCGCGACGACTGCGTGGTTCTTGCGTGGCGCGTCTTATGTTAGCACTTTTTTTATACAATAACTGTATGGAGCCACCTTAACTGCTGTTTGTTCTCGTCAGCAGTGTAGAAATTGTAAACTGTGTCTGTCCAAGTAGTGTTGCGTTGTCATAACCGGTAATCGAACCAAAGGTCTCTCGGGTTTCCGTCTCAATTTTATCTCAATCAAAATTGTATACAATATCTCCTAATTCCTAAAAGCCTAGGATTTGACAACATAATCCCCACGTGCGGCATATGTTGTAAAAATTGTACAGTGACGATGCAAAATTCTTCGAAAAGTAAGTGTTTTATGATCAAATAACGTCGTTGAATATCAGCTGAATGCTGATAAGTGCGGGGTGTGTAACCAACAGGTATTTTTTATGCAAGTCCTAACGTGAATACGTGATGTAACATCTATAACATATCAACCATGAATGTGTTTTACTGCTAGTAGTTAAATGCTGAATAGTTATTCATTTGCTGCTGGCAGGGTTTGCGGCCTATTACCGTGTATGTACCGTGCAATTAAACTTAATTGGAATTCAGGTGTCGGTTGCTTTGTGAATTATCGCAGCGTTTTGACGCCAAAATTCATCTACATATTATGTATGTGTTCATTTACGATATTTCTTTAGCTGCCACTTGCGTAAATTGCAAATGTATTAACTATTAATGCTACTATTAATCGTATGATACTCTTAAGGACTGTTTTTCCCACAGTGCACCCGGGTCACCATGGGTAACGTACGAGTATTTTAGTCACTCGCTGATTTTTGAAAGGAGACTTGGGATAACAAGTCATCGATAAACCCTATAATGATGAGAGGTGATATTTATCCTTGCCTAAAAAACGGCTTGAAAGTCGTGGAATATAGAATGCACAGAAGAAAGTATTCATGCCTGTAGATTTCTAACTTGTGCACAGATGTGTGTATACGAGCTAGTATAGTAGTAGATTTCAAAATTGAATTACTTTGGTAGAAAAGACTGTTTGAAATGTCATATGCAGTCATGTTGTTGTTGTCTTACAAACATGTTATTTGGCTTATATCAAACTTTTCCCCATTGGTTCAATATGTTATGTCTTGGAACATTGTGATTAGCTTTCTATGTTGTTCACACGAACATAACAAGACATGTATTGATGCACGTGCACCGTGTGATATTGCATGAAGCTTTGCGATTTTTATTGCTCACGTGCGGTGAGAACAGAGACTCCATTATTTAGCGAAAGAGACCAGGGAGGTTATTTACTGGCTGCGAGGTCTGGATGAGAAAAACTGTTCCCGAGGGCACAGCTTTTCTCATCCGCGGACCGACGCTGCCGGTAAATAACGTGTTTATTTTTTAGCAGATGTAAAATTAAATTGATTAAAATTCCAGTGTTGCATGCGAACTAATTTGAGATCAGTGCGGTTGTGTATCAAAATGGCAAAGAAACACACAAAAAGACATATAGTTTCAGTAAAAATGTACATGCTTTTTTCATGAATGTGGTAACAACTAAAAGCATTATAATAAAAAGTTTATAGGTCTGACGTTTTGGCTTTGACAAATTCAGTTGCTTCCGCCACAACGACAAGTTCATTTTCACTTGCTTTGCCGATCAAAAACACATATAAATTAATCTGTTTTGATTTAATAAACCCTTTTCTACTGAAAGGACAATGAAAAAGGTATGCTGTTTTTATATTTTTCTGGTCGTTTCACGATAATATGCTTGAAAATGTGTTTTATTTATTTATTACAAATTTATTAATTATTACAAAATCTTTACAGAGGGGAAACATTTCAGTGCACAAGACACTGTCATAAACACACTGTGCATAAAGCTCTCTTTTTTCCCGACTTTATAATAATGATTTGCTGAAAGAAGTACATTAATTAGTTCACAATATTGCTACTCTAAGCGAGATAATCTAAATATCTAATTGTCTCGGGGTTTTTTCGCGGGTCGCGGGGTTTTTCCGCGGGTTATTAACCCAAGTCGCAGGTATTTGTCGCGGGTCTTTTAATTCTCCGCGGTCTAATTTCCCTGTCAGCGTTCTTTCCCGGGGGGATGTTCGCACGAAACATCGGCTAAAGTTTCTTCAAAATAAGACCGCACTAAACTTTATTTTTTAGTATATAGTATATAGTATATATATATATATATATATATATATATATATATATATATATATATATATATATATATATATATATATATATATATATATATATATATATACAGTGGCTTTACGAAACCGATTTTGACTTAAAAATCACAAAATATTAAATAAAACCCCATTGATAACTCTATTAAAAAATCTGTTGATTCTTGCAATATCATTACAAATCACAAATGGCAAGGAATCGTGTTTTATTTTATATCGTTTTGGTCTTTGATAAAAGACTATTATAGCCCATCAACATTAAACTCACAGACCCCTGGGGGGGGGGGGGAGTGCGGGGGTGCCGTGTCCGTCGGCACAATAAATCAGTTGTCGAATTAGAGAGGTTGTAATTTGTAGCCGAGATCGAAAAGATGGATATGTCGACTGAAAGCTCGGTCTTTTATACAATGAGAAATACAAAGATGATTTAAAAGTATGGACAGTAGCAAGCAAAAACGCAAACGGAAGAGAGAGAAACTGGCGTGTTTAGTTTGTAATCGGTCGTTTGATGACGATTGGATGTGGCTTTTTTGACATTTATACCATGTATTTTAATTAAGGAACTATTTCACCTGTTTTAAAAACAGATTATCTTACTACTCGGAGTTCATCGTTGTACATCACTTAAAAATTAATACGGTTCGTTTTGACTACGCCCTAACCACGCGCTAGCTACGCCCTTTTGTCGGCAAAAAGTTGTCTTGCACCTCCCCAAAAGATAGTCTTCGCTCCGCCCCTGCTTCCGAGGCCTGTTGCTAAACTCGTTAGCACTACTATTAACCCATATGTGTTTGTGAATTACCGTTCAACTTTTTTAAAAAACACCCACGACAATTAGATCATCTCACCCTAAGCAGTACAATTAATAAATAAGAAGAATCGGCTTGAGAATCAGAATGAATATTTGTTGCGTGGTTGCAATTTTTCGACATATTATTAATTCGTACTGTATAAATATAGGTGTTCTCTATTCTCTAATGAATCCTCAGCAATACTTTATGGTTGGACGTTTGAGTTGTCTTCAAGAAGTATAGGAGCTGTTACGGCTGCTGCCCTTGGGATCCGACCCTTATAGGATCAGGGAGTTTGCTATACCCTGAGCAACGAGTCAAGGATAAACACACATCGTTCTACATTGATAGCATCTATGCAAAGGTTAGGGTTAGGATTTGAGTAAAATCAGAGTAAGGGTATATACAACAGTAAGGGTTAGGTCTCGTACGATGTTATTCTGAACACGCCATTACTCTGCCGAGCCAGTACTCCACAGGTTTGGTGTGTTCACCTTGGTGTCGACTTTCTAGTCCTTCGTTTAGCTCTTATAACGGATCTTGAAAAGGCTTACTGAAATAGTTGCGTCAATATTTACAGGCAATACAAGATTGCGCAGATTTTGCAGCTGAATTTAAAAATCATTTGCACAACTAAATCCCAAACCATGGCAAACTAAAGCAAGTTGCTCTCTCTGGAAATCTGGAACAACAGCAGCCTTCACGTCGTTTTGAAGCTGGCAGATCGCGCTCATGTAGGATGAGACTGGAATCCAGTTATGCATGATGTACGCAAGTGTATTGCAAAAATGCAAACCCTATAAGGTTTCAGCAATATTAATTGATTTGTCATAATATTACAGTTTGTTTTAAATGCATATGTAGCTACATCGTTTCAAGCAGCAGTTTGCAAAGAAAAGAGAAACACAAACTATAATGGTTCAAATGTTCTAAAGTTTATATTAATATTTTAAATGTTATGTATACAATGGTATTTACAATAATATGTATATATACAGCTTCCTCCTCCGCAAACGATTCATATTTATATGTTTGGTTTCATATTGAGTTAATTTTTCGCAGAAGTCGAGGCGGACAACTAGCCTCGACACTGACTTTTTCTCGCACTCTTTCCTTCTCGCCGTATTTTTCTCTCGCCTCTTTAAAAAGGCGTTAAAGCCGGAAAATAGGCGTAAAAGCTATAAGAGTTAAATAGGTGCAGTCTCGTACACTTCCATAAAGTCTGAATATGCAAAAAGCGTAAAAAAAAAATCCATGCAGATATAATTATACGATAATGCTTAAACGAAGTATGAAAACGAAAAATCTAAAATATATCTACAATACATTTAATGAATTAATGACATCCCCGAATATCTTACTTGGTGAATTTATATATATATATATATTATTAATATAATTAGATTCTAAACTTTCATACGAATGTTCCGCCGATCCTATCGGTGTGTTAACTATTCTATGAAATTATTATTCTATGAACTATGAAAGAATGGTCTCAATTACTCATGCATTTACGATTTTTCTGATCAACAGTATAGTTAAGTTAAGGACAAGGTATATTGACCTAAATACCTGGTTTTTAACCATTCATTGCATTTATTAAATGAACTATATATGCATGCATGGTGTATGAAATCGATTTACAGTCACAAATCACACGAACAACAATTAAATGCAATCTGGTATTCCTTAATTCAAATCGGCAAATACTAGAATTGTCGTCATTCGTTCTTCGTGTGATTCGCGGATTATCGATTATCATCTATTATAATCAATTATAATCGATAATAGATTCGACCATTTTTCTACTAATTTATTGTGTAGTTATGTATACTTTAAAGTGCAACCCATGCACGACCCCTGCTGCAAGTAACCCAAACTTGCTAAATCAGCTCGAAATTTGTAAATAAATATCGCCGGGATAATCCCCTTCACAAAACTGTAACATAATCGTTTAGTGGAACTTTTCTTGAAACTTTTGTCATTATAGACCGCACCCGGTGACTTATTGATTCAAACGACAATTAGGCTACTATATTCCATATTTTAGATATTTTAGCACACGTATATCTGTAGGCCGTAGGGTGTCATTTATAACAATTGTTTTAATTTAGCTACTTTGTGCTCTTGTCTGCCTAGCTCTTGATGCATACTAATCTGTAAAGCCACTGTATATATATATATACAGTGGCTTTACGAAACCGATTTTGACTTAAAAATCACAAAATATTAAATAAAACCCCATTGATAACTCTATTAAAAAATCTGTTGATTCTTGCAATATCATTACAAATCACAAATGGCAAGGAATCGTGTTTTATTTTATATCGTTTTGGTCTTTGATAAAAGACTATTATAGCCCATCAACATTAAACTCACAGACCCCTGGGGGGGGGGGGGAGTGCGGGGGTGCCGTGTCCGTCGGCACAATAAATCAGTTGTCGAATTAGAGAGGTTGTAATTTGTAGCCGAGATCGAAAAGATGGATATGTCGACTGAAAGCTCGGTCTTTTATACAATGAGAAATACAAAGATGATTTAAAAGTATGGACAGTACTAATTTATAACAATTGTTTTAATTTAGCTACTTTGTGCTCTTGTCTGCCTAGCTCTTGATGCATACTAATCTGCGCGCGAAACTATTCTGTATGCGCATCAGCGCCTACAGATTTTTAACAGTTTACGCATGCACTCGAGATCTCGTTGCATGAACAGTGTCCAACTACCAATATTTTTTTTGCTGCAAATCGATTGAAAAATACGATTTTGCTGACGTCAACATGCGATGATTCACGTCGATTTATGACATTTACCGATTACTAAATAAATGTGAGCCGATGCATGGGCACAGCTCTATATAGGCCTACATCATGCACATGTATACATATATACCAGTTGCGCAAAAAGTTCTCCTGTTTGATTAAATATAACTTAAAAACTAAAAGAGCTGTTCCTAAACAAGGTTCTTGGCATTCAGTAATGTCTTACTTAAATTTTGATATACCGTGACTGTGTGCATTTTTATGCAATATATTGCTGTGTTTAATTAAACTTTCATGGGTAAACATTTTTGGATGTATCGAGAATTAGCCATAAAAACACCCATTTTCCAAATGTTTTCATCACTGTTCGTTCATGAACTTGGAGCAGGAATGTTACGCCAGTGACGTGCCCATGCATCACCGAATAATCTCTGAACAAATGCAAACTCTTTGGTCCTTTGTGAAAGGAAACATATTTTTAAAGGAACACGGTCGTTTCTTTCGCGGTAGATTACCATTATTTACATCGAATATTTAGAAGAATACTTTTAATCAAAACAGCCTTATAAGTTAATTTTCTTGCATTCTCAAAGATCGTGAAACAAAAATAAAAGAGCAAGCCATGTCCATCTGAGAAACATTTTCAAATTCAACCTGAACTTCATTGAAATTAATACTTATACGATAAAATGGTAACGTTGATCGCGCCGTTTTTACCTACATTCTGGACACTTCCAAAAATGTTTACTGAAATTTGAAACGCAGTTATCTCGTCCAATATTGCATGGAAATGCCCATGGTGTATATCAAAATTTAAGTTAGACATTACTGAATGCAAAAGAAGTGCACAGAAATTTTAAGAAATTTTTCAACAGTGCTGCGTTAAACCTAAATAGTGTTCAACAGTGCGTTGAAACTTAGTGTTTTTGAACAGTGCGTACATTATACAACTTAAATTAAATGGTGTTTTGAACAGTGCAAGAATCTTTTGGTGACAAGTGTGGTAAAAGTTCTACATCTGTTATTTGGTCACATGTTGTTGTATTAGTATCTGTTGTTGAGAAAACTACTCTAGCAATACCACGATATCTTACTCTTTCCAGGAATTCCGACTTTGTATGAAGCCATCGATTCCATCTTGTCTTTATCGCCTGTCTCACTTCTCCATTAAATACGACATAAACAAGACAAGCCAGAGTCCCCTAATAATTAAAAAGGATGCATGACTGTAATCCCGCATGCATGTATTTCAAATCAAGCTCAATTTGTATAGGAATATTTACAGTGTACAGAAGTGCTGAAAATAAAAACAAATGGTGGCAATGAAAGAAAGCATGAGAAAAGCAGGGATACAGTTGTACTGTTATGATGTTATCGCTTCCAAAAAATAAGCGTGCAGTTGTATAATGTGTCGAGTTCACTATGAGCATGTGCCGTAAAGTCATGGCGTGACAACAAGCGGCTCGCTTGTGACGCGCTTGCACGCTTTGAAAGTTGAAAACTGTTCAATGCGTATAGAAAAGCGGACGCAATGGAAACCGGCCTTTACGTGTGTAATTATTCGCGCGTGCACACCAAGAAAGTGATTATGTATAGTTCAACTTTCATGGCGTCCACGCGAGGCTTGAACTCTGTTCAAAAATGTTCGCTCGGCCTGCATATAATGCATATAATGTACCAATGGAAAACAGTCTCAAACGTAATGACGTGCGCACACCCCCACAGGAAACCTCTCTTAATTTAAATTGATAGCGCCTCTGTAATGGGCACAAATGATCAACCTACGCACTCTGCATAAATGGTGTTCAAATATGGTAATATATAAAGAATATCAGACAGCACATGCAGATGAGCAAGGAATTAAAATTCATGTTTGAGAGAGTATGGATCACTGATCAAATCAATCCCAATCACTTTTCAAACTTACCTGCATTGGATATAGTATTCTTATAAGGTAATTGTACCATATCGGTGCACTTTTAGGTACGTACAGAATCATTAAATATATCACACCAAGTAAAGGCATCAAAATTAAAGCAGCCTTTATACCTTTCCTGAAAGGCAGAAAAAACAGTGAAGAGAATTAGGTTAGTCACCCAATATCTTGCGCAATGTGAATACAGCTGAAGTGAGGCCGCTGCATTCGCGCGGGCTATCCAATACTAAATTAAATTAATTAACTCCGCTTTTCAAATTAAAGGCGCTAGACGATAATGTTGGTTATTTATTTTCATGTTGTGGAAACCAATTCGTGTAAAATTTGAATTCTCGAAGAATGCGCGTATATACTTGAGTATTCGACAAATCCTTTCCTAGTAATTCTTTGCGGTTTTCCCAATATGAAACTGAAAGACTCCAGTATGTAGATTTTGTGTAGCGACGTCGCAAATGCAATCCACAAAGAATACATATACAAAGACATCTCACCCATTGATTTTGCAACATAAGTTGTTGCTATTCATTAAATTACTGGCATGCATTTGTTAAAATACACACACTCTGAACTTGCCTGTCGAATTGATATCGGCAACTAGATCGGTAAAACAAACTTAGTCCCCCACCCTTACGTAAAAATTTTGTTATCTCCCAAAATCTGGGAGACACGTGACCAGCCTGGACCAGGGTCTTTCCTCCAGCGAGGCGCGTAGTAGAAAGAGCCTGGGTACAAAGTTGCTCCTCTATAAACTTCTGACAGCTTCAATATTTATCCATGCACTTAACGACAATGCATAAAGTCATCTTAATTAAGTTCACATTGAACAAATATACAATAACTTACTTGAGTCTTAGCAGATCAGACGTAGTTGATGTCCGTAGTTTATCAAGAAGAACGTATATAACATATATCAGCGTCGCAAAATTGATCTAAAAGAAATATTTGGCGTATTATGGTGGCGTATTAAGATAATACCACAGAGAAGATACGAACCGAGAGGTTCGACAATGCCAAAAACCCGTAACGCCGCCACGTCATGTAGTTGATGCATTCGTAATGATTCCCCATCGAAATGCACGCGCCATCCTATTCACCCCCTGGAAGTCCGCCATTTTTAACGTTAATTTATGTTATCGTTAATTTCAAGCATGCAAATTTTAGTTATCGTTAATTAAAAAGACCTTGATTTGTTTTATATAAACACGAACTCTTTTAACTCAAAATACATCATATTAAACCTCTAAACAAAAACATCAGTCCACCTCTTCACTATCACTGTCACAGTGTCACTGTCGGCAGAACCTTAAGCTGAACTATATATTTTATATGCATTGGCTTAAATGACTCAGTTAACTTTTAACGTTACAGTTTTGACATATCTATACTCGCGTACTGTTGTAATTGGTAGTATATAATATTAAGCGTTTGCTGTTGTGTTTATATTCTTCGACTCGCGTTAGTTAAATTAACTTGTTAACCATAAACTGTCGTATTCGCGTTAATTTAATCAGTTTTAGAAGTACCTGAAAGCAATTCGATGACACGCGTTAATTAGATGACACGTTAATTTAATTATGTCGCGTTAATAAAGTGAATCGTTAATTTCCTATAATAAGGTATTACTGTGAGAGTTTGCCCCGGCCAAACGAGAAAAAAGGTTGCATGAGACGGTTGATTCGATTTCGATATTATGTGCGCGTTTGAACCAAGTTCAATGCTGATGATAGTTGATGAGAGTGCACGAAAGTCGATGAGAGTGCATGAGAGTCGTCAAACGCGAGCGAGAGCTAAAACTCTAATGAACCATCATCCTCGTTTGACTGGGGTTTTAATATACTGAGCTACAATTCAACTAGTATATATAATCCAACAACTATCAATCTTTAGTATAATTTCAGTATTGAAAAATGGCCTTTGAGCATTCTGACTGGCTCCCTGAAAATCAGACAGAAGTAAATTATTTATGCAAATTATGTTCATAAAATAAACATGTTGTCAGACGTCCATGTTTATAAACAGTCGCATGGCTACCATCGGAAAATATCGTGATGTTCCGGTATATTCCGGGAAAATGTCGTGATATTCCGTGATATTCCGCCATATTCCGTGATATTCCGGCATATTCCGTGATATTCCGGCGTTCCAGGTTTTCACAACGCCCATAAAACCTTTAATTTTCAATACTAAAATTATACTAAAACAATTAGTCGCTTCAGGCTCGGTGTTCATATGTAAAATAAATATTTACCAGAAGCATCAATGTCATTGGACCATAAAGTATGAACATGAATAATGAATCTTTTTCTGTTTTCCAACAGCTGTGAAAATAAAATAGATATGCAACATTAGAAAGTGGCAGATGCGGTTAGCGCGCTGCCTCTAATTTGCGAGTTAATCCTGCTACTGTAGGTTAAGTGTGGGGGATTTACTAAGGTTGGGTATCTTCCCTGTACTCGAAAACTTATGGAAGTAAAGTTTGGTTGCTCTTTCCTATGCTTTGAGGGGTTTTCTCCTGGTCATCTGGTTTTAATCTGTTGCCAAAAATTAACCCTCAGCCTTAGTTGTGAAGTACACGTCAGTATATCATTAGACTTGCTCCAAACCTCTCTTTTAGGGTTTTAGGGTTTTTACTTGACCGTTATAAGGATCTTAGGGGCTTTACTTGACCGTTATAAGGTCGAGCAAAATGCGAGCGAGCGAGAGAAAGTTATTTTTGCGCTCCCTTTATAACATCTAAATAAAAACCCTTTTAAAAGGCAGACATAGAGCAAGTCTTGCTCTTTAAGTGGAAATGCACTCTGAATCGCCCTACTCTATTATTTTACTCTGTCTAACGCCAGACGATTTTAGTCGCCAAGGGGTGCTATCATGCACTTATTAGAGAGTTTTAGATTGACGTTAGTCATTATTACGGCAAACCGCAAACCGGTAGTCGACGTACCCGTTTGTTTGCGGTTCGGATTTTAAAAACGATTTAGATTTAACCGGTTTTAACTTCCAAAATGTGAACTTAATCGGTGGGCAATAGCATCCCAATCCATTGGCTTTCGTGGTCGGCAGCTTGCAACCTCCTCAGCCAATGCAAGATCATGTTGTATGCTTGGCCAACGAAAGGGTTTCGTGGTCATGATATTATTCCAAGTTCTGCCGGTATTAGACACAAACAGATTTTATATAAAATTTGCAACAAAATTAGCCTATATAAGAGTGAAACTTTAAATCTCAGAACGCGAGAAAAAGAACAAAAAATGCATGAAAACCTTGAGGGAAACTACCTACCTGAAAACAGCCTCCCTCGCGTAAGAACGTCTACTTCGAACGTGTAACCTGACGGCAAGGTGGCTGTCACGTGATTTTTAGCCGTTTGCGGTTAGCGGGAAATACGAAAATACGTCAATCTAAAACTCTCTATAGTGGTTAGTGTATCATGAGCTACTGTCGCAAGTGAATTGGGCAAACACACCCTGTGTTGACATTAGCGAGGTTTAAATTTGACTTCCACTGCCATTAAGGGACCATTAACCAATCAGGTGCGCTTAATTACCCGATTTACCAATCACATGTGTACTTAGTTTGAGAAAAGTACCGGTAGTGGAAGTCAAATCTAAACTTACTATTAAATAACAGAACAGTGTTTTCATTTAATTTCAACATCCACACCATATTCCACTCGCCCATTACTATTAGTGCATGAAATGCAAGACTTTAAATTAAACATTGCAAGCTTAGGCAATAGAAATGTGCAATTATGATAGTAAATTAACGCGGTCCCAACAATGAATGTTTGAACTTACAACCTAGCGAGTAGTCAGACCCAAAGGCACAGCCGAAAATGAACAAGACACGGCAATAATTCAAAGAAAATAACGAACATGCAAAAATTAAGCATACAAGAATGAATGCATGGAATCGTTCAACAAATTTTCGTACATTTTCATTTCTTTGTCCAAATAATACACCATAACAGGAATGTAGATAGCAAACACCAAAATGGCAGGAAATCCTGAAAGAAAAAGTACTCTTTCTTAATTTTATGGATATTTTCGCATTTGAGACAAAAAAGTCGCAAATCCTGCACTAGCCCATGGTGCATGTGCAAAATACACATCTTCTGATAATAGCGGAAATCTTATCTAAACATAGATCCTATACATGGTGATGAGCACTTTGTCTATTAAAACGTCCACACGTTTAAGGCAATTTGAAGTCAATTCAGAACATTATATTATTGTCAGGTTCACTGGTGCAGTCGTTTGAGAAACAACCATGCATGCATTCACCACGTAATTTTCGCTTCGGACTTAATAAATCCATCAAACAGTAATGGGTTAATCATCTCTGGACACTCCGTTTTCCTCCGATCGACCATGCAGAACAGGATGGGTTCGGATAGATATATAGGAATACATTCACAATTATGTCAACAACAGCAGCGGTTAAATATGTATTACCAATTTTTAAGTGAACCGATCGTTCTATACAGTGTATAATTGCCATATTTTACATTCCTCTTCCTGTTACCACCACAGAATATACTCCATTCTGTGGTCATACCACTAAATGACCGCCCGCAATTCTTCCGTTTAATTCGTTTCAATTCTTACGAGTTTCCTGTGAAGGAGGCTATTATCACCCATATTTTCGATCATTCTTTAGGTTATAGAGTATAATAAGTGCATCAAATATAACTTTCTTACCCCATCCAAATGCAAAGAATCCCCAGAAATACGACTTGGCATCAAAAGTACGGAATAAAAGCTTCAATAAAAATATAGCTTCATTCAACATCCACGTCACTTCCGATATTGCGAAAAATCGGTTTAGTACCCAGAAGGCGTTACAGATCGTCTAGACAAAACAGTTAGAAAGGTTCTTAACAATGTGAAACAACTCCGTAAACCGTGTAATTTTAAAAACTAAATAATAGATGTTTTTAATGTTTTAAATAAACCAACGTTTACAAATTGCTATTATGTTTGTAGAAGTTGTAAACAGCAATTCAAGCATGCAGATGCGTCATTGCCATGCAACTCGCCCGAAAAAGAGCAAGTTAAAAACTCTGATCAACCAAAAAACTACCCTGGTTCCATGCAACTTTTATATAGCCGTTTCAATATCGATTAATTTACAAATCCTCATTAGCTACCTCTATGATGGCCGAGAAGGGCCATGACTGTAAACACTCGCCGTTTTTTTTTCTACCATTACACTCGTCGTTTTTTTCCCTTCAAAATTACACTCGCCGTTTTTTCAATGCAATAATTACACGCGACGTTTTTTCAATGCAATAATTACACGCGACGTTTTTTTCAATGCAATAATTACACGCGACGTTTTTTCAATGCAATAATTACACGCGACGTTTTTTTCAATGCAATAATTACACGCGACGTTTTTTCAGTGTTTCGAGTTACGTTTTAAACTGAGGGTTTCACTTCGGATGAAGATGGGAGCAATCATAAGGTTAGTGTGTTTCACTAGTCAAAACAAAAAATCATGTAAATACAGTACAAAATTTCACTTTTCAGTCGGTTAATTATGAATATAAATTATAATGCATTGTTTTCTTTTGTGTTTCCAAACTATATAAACAAAAGCTTTGTGTGAGTTTGCCAGGGTCGTATATTTATTTTCCTTGTTGCACTTCTTCACATATAAACTGTGTCTTGCCATGTCGTATATACGCCTGCAGTGATACAACAAGTCAACAAAATCAACAAGAAATGGCGGTTGTACATGTGCTACGGCAATATGTGAAGAGGTTATTTCGCTGGCCTCAGAGTGACAAAACGTAACAAAGCAACGGTTTTACTAACACTAACCCTATTCCAAACACCAACCAGGGCCATACACATGCGGGGGGGGGCAGGGGCAACTGCCCCCCAGAGAAAATTATATTTACGATTTTTAGAATGTCATATTAATTATTCTTTGGATATTTGGGACTTTTTCGGCATAGGCCTTTTTAGGCCTACTGCCCCCTGGTGAAAAAATCCTGCGTACAGCCCTGACACCAACTCTAACCCTAATCCTGTCCCTAACCTAACTGAAAAAAGTGTCATTCTGAAGTCAGCGAAATAACTTCTTCCATGTGGCACTGGGATATATATATAGCAACGCTGAAATACAGAAAGATTTTGTTTAGTTTGGAAAACACAAAAGAAAACAGTGCATTAATCATTATATTCATAACCGACTGAAAATGAAATTTTGTACTGTATTTACATGATTTTTTATTTTGATGAAACACACTAATCTTATATGATCGCTCCCATCTTCATCCGAAGTGAAACCCTCAGTTTAAAACGTAACTCTAAAAAAACGGCGAGTGCAATTATTGCATTGAAAAAGCGTCGCGTGTAATTTTGAAGAAAAAAACGGCGAGTGTAATTTTGAAGGGGAAAAAACGACGAGTGTAATGGTATTGAAAAAAAACCGGCGAGTGTTTACAGTCATGGCCCTTCTGGGCCATCGTATGCCTCAGCATAAAATCCACTTGATAGTTCGCGAGGCTTTTATAGTTTTAAAGAACGGCGAGGCAAAGAAACGGCAAGACTACGAGCCTCTGGTCAAATCGCTTGCGAATCTCACTTCCTTACTTGATTAATAGGTTCAGAACCTGAACATCGCATGTGATTAGCTATTCGCAAAAAAAACCATGACAAACCGGTTTAGAAAATGCTGTAGTACTACAGTCGTGCCAATAGAAGCGTTCCGAAAAATGTTGACCAGTTCATTTCCTAACTTGAAGGAACACCTCTGAACGATTCCTCAAAAGTTCCCTAAAAAGCAAGGGTGGGTAGTAGCGAAGTAGTTGTAGTTCGCTACTGTAGCGAACTACAATTTTCAAGTAGCCAGTAGTTTTTGACTACTTTTTTAAAACAGTAGTTGTAGTTATAGCGAACTACATTTTGCCTAAAAGTAGCCAAGTAGTTGATATCTACTTTTCAAACAGCGAATCGCTATTCGCTACTTTTTAAAATATGTTAGTAACCGTTAATAGAATAGAATGATATTAAGACAAGGTTTGCTTAAAAGATTATATTATATACAGTAAAGATTATTTTAGCGCAATGAAAAGTGGCACTCCTGAACACTGTAGTGCTTATAAAAATGTTGCTTTGACCTTTTTGTTTACTGTTGCTACTCGTAAGTCGATTTGTTGTAGGTTATATTACAGCCTGAGCTGGTGGATGCTCCAAATACCGTAAAACTAAAAAATATAGAGTAGCGAAATAGCGAAATAGTTCGCTACATTTTTTAAGCAGTAGCTGTAGTCAGTAGCGAACTACCTTTGTTCAAAAGTAGCAGTAGTTGTAGCTGACTACATATTTTTGAAGTAGCTGTAGTTATAGCGAACTACAAAAATTTTGTAGTCAACCCACTCTTGCTAAAAAGTTCCTAACTTCCTGTTTCATTGACCAATCAAATTTTATATTTTATTTTTGAGCAATCTGATTGGTCAATGAAACAGGAAGTTAGGAACTTTTTAAGGAACTTATCAAATTGTTGAGGAATTGTTCAGAGGAACTCCTCTGGCACGACTATAAATGCACATTTGCAGGCTATAAATAGCTATTGTACATGTTTATTAAAATATTTTTTACAAATAACCAACAACATGCGAAGTTCAGATTCCAAACCTAATCAAGTATGGAAGTGCATGAGATATTCATGAGATTCGCAATCGATTTGATCAGTAGCCTGCGAACAGTTTATTCATGGCCCTCGTATTTGATCAGAGACACTGTGTCTTCGTCTTCTCCATTTTCTTTTGCCTGCATGCTAGGTTAAATATGACATGTGTTCTTTCTTACCATACACAGTCATAAACAGGATACAAGTAACGGACTGAATTATAAGAGCCATACAGAAACTTACCCGATCAGCCCGAATAAGATCTCCATAATGATCTACGAAAAACGTTACAACTCTGAACAAGAAAGCACAGATGAGGTTCTTGTGTAAATTAAAGCGAATATTCTTTCTATCCCTAACAAAGAAAATTTTACGTTTTGATGATGCAGCGTTTATAATACAAGCCGTGGATGATATGTAATTTCCCAGCCAAACATACAGGCGGCTAAAACCCTATATCTTAACATTTTAAAACCAGAGTAAATTCATATAGTAGTTTGATTCAGATATTTTATTCTTTTATGGCATTATTTACATGTCAAAGTACAACACAATTTGCATATATTTAAGTGAGTTTGTGGGTCGTTGCCCTTGTGTTACCCCGTTCTTTATGCCTAAACTAGACTTGGATCAAGTCCGTCTCTCAAGAATCCGAGGGATCGGGCGCGCGAGGTGCAATAACGCGAGATAGACGACCAGCCAACTTCAATAAAAGTGTCTCTAAAATGCCATTGATGGCATTTTTTGTTACAAGCTGGCAACTGGCGTTTTAGTATAGCTTAGACACTGGAGAACAACGTTTGATAGGTTGCTACATCTGATATTGACTTTAAAGTGAAAAATTTTGAGAATCTGAAAATTTTGCCTATTAAAATTGCTATACTCACTAAACGGTGAAATTTGAAAACAGCTTTCAGCAAAAATCACCTATATAATCAGAAAGTTCGGAAAAAAGTAGATATAGGCGCTTAAAGTTGCTAAAAAACAGGTTTTGTGACGTCATTCACCGCATTTTACCTCTTTTTAAGTGTCCATAACTCAAATTTGACTAAATAAATCGTATTACTCGTTTAAATGTCTTTTTATGCTCTTTCTAACGATATAAACGATGCTAATTTAAGTGAAATTCAAATTTCACAGTTTTTCGGGAGTATAATAATTTAATAGGCAAACTGTTCAAATCCTTAAAATTTTCTCTTCGTTCGTTAAAATCAGAAGTGGCAACATATCAAACGTGACTCACCAGTGTCTAAGCTATAAGAAGACGCTTGTTGTTTGCTTGTAACAAAAAATGCCATCGACAGTCATATTTTGATCGGCTGGCTGGCCGTCTAGGAAAGTCCGCGCTTCGCGACTCGGACTGTGTAGAGACTAGACTTGCTCCAAGTCTCTCTTTGTGGACATCTATATATTGCACATCTATATTGTACGTTACATGACGTACCGCTGAGGGGGAGAGGAGGAAAGAGAGACTTGTAACATCTGGCAGCAAACATACTTCCGGCTGGTCAATTTCGACCAGCCGGAAGTAGATGGCCGCATTGACTTATCATGTGTTTAGGGGGGGAAGGCGACATCTGGACTTTCAGAGTTATTTGTTTAACATAAGTAATTTTGTATTCACGAGATTTCTTGTAGATTTCACATCACTTTTGACTGCGTGCATTTGGAATTTTGGGCATTATTTTTGCAATTTATTGTAAACAACGATTATAAGAAGAACGGATAAATTACAAATCAGCCGTAATCGTCATAAACCTCGATGACCACCAGTGTTTTTGTGTTTGACAATTTGTATTTCATTAGATATTTATATGCAAGGTCAGTATTAACCGCCATATCTAATATGTACGGCCGCGTTTTTTACACGGCCACTACTGAAACGTTTAGCTTGATTGTTGAATAAATCGATGACTTTTGCTTAGTTGCTTTCTGTTTTGAGCTTAACCACCGTTTAAGCTAAACGGGCTTGATACAACTGGCCCCACATAAACATTTTTGTATTATCGAGATCGAAACTATAGTAAATTGGAAACCGTGTCAATAATAAAAAACGTACAATGAACTTATGAACATGCGAAAATTGTCACGCCCAAAATTTATACACATTTTTATTTTGTTAAAAATTTGTGTAAATTTTGGGCGTGACAATTTTCGCATGTTCATAAGTTCATTGTACGTTTTTTATTATTGACACGGTTTCCAATTTACTATAGTTTCGATCTCGATAATACAAAAATGTTTATGTGGGGCCAGTTGTATCAAGCCCGTTTAGCTTAAACGGTGGTTAAGCTCAAAACAGAAAGCAACTAAGCAAAAGTCATCGATTTATTCAACAATCAAGCTAAACGTTTCAGTAGTGGCCGTGTAAAAAACGCGGCCGTACATATTAGATATGGCGGTTAATACTGACCTTGCATATAAATATCTAATGAAATACAAATTGTCAAACACAAAAACACTGGTGGTCATCGAGGTTTATGACGATTACGGCTGATTTGTAATTTATCCGTTCTTCTTATAATCGTTGTTTACAATAAATTGCAAAAATAATGCCCAAAATTCCAAATGCACGCAGTCAAAAGTGATGTGAAATCTACAAGAAATCTCGTGAATACAAAATTACTTATGTTAAACAAATAACTCTGAAAGTCCAGATGTCGCCTTCCCCCCCCTAAACACATGATAAGTCAATGCGGCCATCGACTTCCGGCTGGTCGAAATTGACCAGCCGGAAGTATGTCTGCTGCCAGATGTTACAAGTCTCTCTTTCCTCCTCTCCCCCTCAGCGGTACGTCATGTAACGTACAATATAAATGTACAATATATATATGTCCACAAAGAGAGACTTGGAGCAAGTCTATGTAGAGACGGACTTGATCCAAGTCTATGCCTAAACTTTCCACTATGAATTATGGTGATGATAATGAATACATTAAATATGCGATGAATGAAACAAAAAAATGCATGGACTTACATGAAGTAGAACAGGACAAAGAGCGTAGGAATCATGAAAGATAAAGATATCCAACTAAATGTCACATAAACCTTTAATTGGTAACGCTCTGTAGTCGAATCCTACATAAAAAATAAGAGCACGGAGTTCATTTACAAAAGCAAATAACAAATAATGACATAGCAAGAGTTATGTGATAGAAAGATTTTATGATATACAAAGACGATTTTCGGTACAGATATAAGAGTTAACTACCTCTTTCTGTCTGTCAAACAATCTGTCAACAATTTCCTGTTGTTCTTTCTCTGTGAGTGGTGTACATTTTCCTTTCCAGCTCATTGGAGGGATGTTCCATGATCCATTATGATCACAAAAAGCCTTCAAAGAAGCTGAAAATAGGAGCATTGGTATGGCATTTATGGGCATTTATACTTGAAACAAACAAGAAATGCATGATTTGAAATGCATATTAGTAGCGTGGTACACATTTGGTCGAAGAAAACAAAAAATACCAATGTATTCCTTCTTTTCCACTAAAAACCATTCGCAGATATCTTATTAATAACAAATTAAATTACAATTTTCAATTGGTTTTGCCGTTTTGTTTTAAAATGCATGCGTTTGTTTTAACGTAATGGACCGGCGGGTCCATTACGGGAAAATAATGGACCGCTGAAAGTGCTTCTCAGCCAATCATAGTCCGCCATTTCACCGGAAGTGATGCTTGCCATATAATAATAAAGATTAATCGGCACGAATTCGAGCCCGCGTATAGATTAATTAAACAAAAAATTTCAAAATCTATAACTAAACAGCTTTGCAATGAGCTCTTTAAGTACGTATGTTTAAACTATTAAAGAAAAATAAAAAATAAAGATAATTCACAGTTTTTCACAAGTATGCACGAATTGAAAATTAATGTCAGAAATTATTCTCAATATGGACAAAGGTCAAAGGTGCGTATGGCTGTGCTCGCTTGACCACATTAATACAATGTTTTTTATCATTGATTGCTCGTGGAAATTACACTTGTTCCACACGACCACACTTGTGTTTCGTGAAATATTTATAGTACCGCTCGATCACTCGCGGTATTATAAATATTTCGCCAAACACGCGTGCAATTTTTCAGTAACATTTCCTATACTGTGTAATTTCCTATACTAATTTGTTATATTTATTCTCTGAATGTTTCTCGTTGCTCACTTCTATCATTTGCATGAAAGCAATTTTAATTTTCTAAACGAAGCATCCCTTAATGTTAAAACAGTTGTGTTATTGTTCCCTTTAAGGGCAAACGATTTTCGTGTTGACTTTGTGAGAATTAAAATCTTAACACGTCAACGGCCAATCAACTTGCGTTAGTTCACCCCTAAAACAGTTGTTATGTAGAATCACACTATATTATTATTACTATATGATAAAATGATAAATGCTAAGCGCAACTCAGTATATGTATAAGAATCATCCATGAAATGTGACTATGCGATGCCCAAACGAAGTTTAGCATCTCTTCATATTCGATGCGTGAGTTTGTTAGTCTGTTAAGCCTGTTTTCCACTTTGTCGTACCGTACCGAAATGTGTATTAATGTAAAAATTCAAAATTACAACGTGTTTAAGCCAGTGTAAGAATTCAAAATTTAGTGAATGAAGATTGGTTATTAATGGTTAATATACTTTCATAGTACGCCAAAAGGTTGACTTGCGACGAACTGCGAATACACCCGCAAGTATACGTGAATTAATTAAATTCAACCTCTGCATGCTCACCAGTACATTTCGGCACGATACGGCTGAAGTGGAAAACAGCCTTTAGTTATTATTGTATTAGTTTGGGCACCGCACTGTACTACTGTAGTATTATGTGTGGCCGGTTTCTTATAGTAAATAACAGGAATTCACCGTTGGTATGAAAGAATATCATGGGACAGGGTGTAGTAGCTTTTTCGCCTGCACATGTTGTTTCCCAGCAAGCTGTTTTTTTTGAAAAATGATGTGGACATGATGGTTTGCCACCACCTAAAGAAATGATACAAAACATAAAATGTGAGATGAATGATCAATTGAGATATTGATGAAGTTTCATATAGAGAAGTTGAGAACAAGAACTGTAAACTGTAACGTATCTCGCGTATTGAGCGGTAATTGGTGTGCGTTATGTGTTGTTGGGTCATACCACAGCTGATGGTTAATACGGGCCATGTCTGCTGCAGTGTGGTATGGTATGCCACTATATAGTTTTGTGTCGTGTTACTTGTGTGATACGGTATGGTATGGTGATAGTATGGTATGGTATGGTATAGTATGGTATGGTATATGGTATGGTATGGCATGGTATATGGTATAGTATGGTATATGGTATAGTATATAGTATATGGTATGGTATGGTATGGTATGGCGTGGTATACGTATGGCGTGGTATAAGAATGGCGTGGTACGGTGTGATGTGGTAATGCATTCCATATCACATGATCATAATCAGCCAATTAAATAATCAGAATTTAATTACAAGAACGTCTTGAATGTTTAAAGTAGATGTGCTAAATGGCACGCCGACCTGTGTTACCTTTCGCGCATGCCAAAGCCATACTAGTTCATTTTTAGAACTGCTCTGTAAATTCGAGCTTTGGTAAAGTGTATGTTAGTATGAGCATGTGTATGTACGTTGTGTTGCATTGACATGCCAGTTGTGTAGAGCATGGTGATCATCAAATGTTAATTAGTATAGGTAATCATGCGATGGCGAGTACAATTAGGGATTAATAGTACGAGGGATGTTTGGAAATTTTGCCAAAATTGGACGAGCCGCCGGGGCGAGTCCAATTTGGCAAATTTCCAAACATCGCGAGTACTATTAATGCCTAATTGTACGAGCAACATCGCATGATTACTTGTTTATTATTAGCATGACAAAATTGGATACGTACTTCTCAATGTCAACATCGTATTCAATCGCCAAAGCCCAGTCCTGACAGACTTTAAACCAAAATTTGGTGCTTTTGTTTGTATTTTCATTTAGTTCTTTTGTTCAAGCAAAATTTGGTGCTTTTGTTCGTATTTTCATCTAGTTCCTCCACGGCAATTTCATTTCACGCTTGTGTTTAAAATGCCTTTCCGCCATTTTGTTTGTTTTGGGAAAATCATTAATTGTACTGCAGTACAATTAATCAACCAATCAGCATCCAGTAATTTTGTTATGCTAATAATAAACTGAGTAACACACCTGGGTGTGCTTGTCACTTTCCTAGGTGTGTTAATCAGCACGGCAATGTGTTGGGAATCACACCTTTAAGGCGCTCTTACAACTTTCCCCCAGAAAAGGTCTTTTATTACACTGACCTGAAAGGTCAAGTGTCTTAAATTCCTAATTTTCTGTTTTCTGTTTTCTTCGTCGTCGAGAAATCGAGTTTGCGTTAGCGCACCGCAGGTTCAGTTTCCAGTATTTTTTTTTATTATTATTATTATTATAACATCTTTATACACGGTAACTAATCAACCATATTACCTATCAGTATTTACAAAAATTATAAAGGTTGTTTTTCATTAGGCCGTGTTATTAAATACAGAACTCGAAATACTATTATATAAACTATTATAAAAATATTAAAAGATACTAAGAAATGTTTGGGTCGAAGTGATACGTTAAATATATATATTACAAATGAATTAAGTAGATATAAAATTTTTACTATTATAGTTCCAGTCTTTAGCAGCAGCATATCCGAATGTCCTTTTCATTGAATTTGTTTTAGGCTTCGACAACATCAGCATCTTGTTATTACTTCTTAAATTATATTTATCAGAATTTGAGATTTTAAACATAGTTGAAACGTTTTCAGGACATTGGTTTGAAAGGGTTTTGGCCACATATGCTAATTTTTGCTCCTTTCTTCTCTCTTCGAGTGTTCTCCAATTTAATTTCTTTAAAATATCCGTGGAGCGAATTTCATAGGTATCACCTGTGATTACTCTAGCTGCACGGTTTTGTAGTCTCTGTAGCTTTTCTTTTGAACCTTCGCCATAGTTTCCCCAAACCATGGAGCAGTAATCAAAACTCGGTTGCACTAAAGCCTGATAAATATATTTAAGAGTTTCAAGAGAGACAAATGGCTTTGCACGGCGCAGCATACCAATGCCCTTCGATACCTTTTTACTGATGTTGTCGATTTGCTCATTCCAACATAGATTGTCATCAATCAGTACACCTAAAGTCTTTTTGGAATAAACCTGTTTTAATAGTTTCCCCCCGCATGATACGCTAGTATTTTTTTGAATTTTAGCTAATCTTTGACGGGTTCCAATGATCATGTATTCTGTTTTTTCAATGTTTAAAGTTAGCTTGTTTGAAAGAAGCCACTGGTGAATATTTTTCATTTCAGAATTTAGTGCTTCCTCCAAATTATTAATGCTATCTGAACATACTGTAAGATTTGTATCATCTGCATACATTGCCGGACAGGATTTATTTAACGATTATATTTAACGATTTGCAGTCGTTCCAGTTTACTATTTCAGTCTCAAACAATTTCTTCATTTGTCAACGAATTTTACCGCGTTTTTCTGTAGAATTTGTATTTATCCTACTCTGCACTTTCTTAGAAGTTGACTTGGTGTTTTTTTCGTGCAACATCTCTGGAAATGCGTTATCTGGATCGCTGAGTTTTGCGAATTTTATCAGGTTACAGACCTACGGAATGTAAACAATGTTGTCTATGTTAGCACATCGCATGCTCAGAGACCATGTGCATTTATGGATAACGTTTGTATTTGTGAGTTATTAATACTTGTGTTTCATTGGACATTACGAAAACATCTCCTCAGGATAACATAGGATAATTTTGCGTATCCCACCCACCCACTCATGTCAGGATCACGCCACGCTTTCAGCCTTTCACGCTTTGCGGCCGGTTCACGATTTGTACTCCTTGTCTATTACACCATAGCACGTATGTCGTCATTTTCAGGGCAGTGTGAACACCTGAGCAGGCGTCTTGTTTTAAAGAAAATCCATAAAATTGCTCGAAAATGCAATGGCAATGCTCATATTCTCGCTTGATTAATCTACACTACATGCTGTGTTGCACGTAACTATTTCATGTAATACGAATTATAGAGGTTTTAACGTACATTAATCAAGCGGAAATACAAGCACTGCATTTTTAAGAATTTTTGTGGATTTTTTTAAATAAAAGACCTTTTTGGGAGTAAAACACATCTTTAATTCACATACATGCAAGGAGCATGTGCATGGCCTGAATTGGTCTAGTGCGATGTAAATATTTGCCTAGACGACCAACAATTGTTTCATTCTGGTATGCAACGCAATGCAATACTCACAATCTTTTGTTATATTTGACTTGCTATCACATATTTCTTTAACTTTTTCTTTGATGAGTTCATAGGGGCGATCCACACAATTACAAATGTCCAAACGCTGTGCAAGATGAAAATATTCGTTTTTTAAAAGGTTTTACAATAGAGCCAAAAAGCAAAAAGTATAACTACAAGGTTAAAATATACATTCTATTTCTTTACGATAGGTCGATAACATCAAACAAATTTTGTCTTTGTCTCTAAATGGTTCTGATCATGCTTAATACAGCACCTTAGACTTAGACTTTGTAGATAAGATATACAAGTTTATCCAAAAATGTATGGGTTTACTAGACAAGAATATCAATTTTAGCTGATTGTTTGTTATGTATAGATACATAATCCAGACATATAACATCCATTGGATAAAAATGTATATTCTGCATGCTGATCTTCATTTCAAGAAGGTAACTTTATTTCACCCAAGTCCATTATTAGTTTGGAATAAAGCATGCGTGAACATTCAATAAGATGAACATACAATATTATACATGCACATGCATGAGCTTATACACATAATGCATGTCATAAATGCAGTTTAATGCGTGTTTTTTTTTATATTTAGATGCCTTCATGGGCTTTGTGCTTAACTGAGAAACTTTGTACTTATAGGAAACAAGAGCTAAGGTAGAAATTGCGCATGTATATACATTTCACTTATATAGGGAATTGGAATCAGCGGCTGAGCTCCAAACATGTATGCATTTACTAATTTTGTTTAAGAATTTACTAATTTATACTTACCATGAAAAGGAGAAGCAAAATAAAGACAGCCGTTCTAAAGTTGAAACGATATCCGCTTCCACTCATGATGTGTTATTTTTTGCAATGAAGGGAATCACCTAGATGTAAAGGATAGGGAAACTTTATATTGTATGAACAGCTGCTGCCCAAGAGTTATTATTATATTTATTTATCTATGAAGAGGTGCCTGACAGTAATCAAGTCGACTTTATTAAAGTGCCCCTAATCCCAAGATTTCTTATCGATATCAAATCTTGGCATAATTTCTAGTATTTCTGCAAAAGCAAAAATGACTTTCGCCCTACTCCTCATTTTATGACAGTTTATGGCACTTTTTGATTGATAATTTCCGCGGCTATACGAGGAGTCTGGAACAAGTAAATTTTACTATTTTACTATTCGAACCTTCATAAAGTTCAAAGACTTGACTGTATATGTTCAGCTCTATCAGCTAGTAAACTGTAAACAAGGATGTCATTTGTGAGTCAGGATGTTCACAATGCCGTTTGGAATTGGCAGCAGGTCGAACATTTCACAATTCTTTGTTATTATTTTTACTTCGACTTGGTCAATAAAACAAGACTCTCTATTACATTTAGCTACTGGGTTTATTAAAGTAGAGGCATATTTTGTGATAGCAGCCTAGAAGCCTGCCCAAATTTGATTTAGACAACATTATGTCATGCAGTACTCCATGCAGTGGCACTAACATAACACGAACTACTGTGACACAGGCTATACATGCAAGTTACAACATTCGATACCCGTCAATTTTGCCAATCTTTTCTACCTAAAATTTAAATATTATAGGCCTAACGACAGCTGTCTTCTATGACGGTATGCAAGCAGAAGTAGTTTCCAATTTGTTCCTTCAACTCATGCTCGTTCGTCGGTGTGATTAAAATTTTATGTCTGCCGGCGTCCACTGTTCGTCGAAGAGATGAGATAAACATCTTCGGTAGAACGTGAACTTTGGAAGTCAATTATCACAAATTGAAAACAGTCTTTTCTTGCGTTTAAAAAACGCATACATTTAGCTAATGCTTGATTTGTAAATTATACAGAACTGGGTTCGTCAAGCACAAAGAAAATCGGCCCGTGTTTTGGGAGCAGAAAGCGAGGCCAAAAGCAACTCTATCTGTATATCATGCCAGTTTGGGGGTATAGAGGCACTTTAAGTATTACTTTCCACCGCATAAGTCACTACAGTCGCCGCTGTTTGTAATCAAATTATACCAAGTGTTAGGTCACACCGGGCGCGATGTGTTTTTGTTTTAGTTTTTGGAAGTAAATAAAATCGTCTATAAAAGGAAATTAAAAAATATTTTGACTAAATAACTCGGGTCAAAGTTATATATAACTAATTGAACCAGGAAAAATCGCGCCGCGTTGTCAGGTGTGTCTGGGCCATTTCGTAATTAAAACTCAGCGACAGCGTAATTGTACAACTGAATCTGCATGTATTTTCGAACAAGTATCGAGTTGTTTAATACTGGAATTAAAATTGCATGTTACTTTGGCACGTTGGATATCATTTTTTAATTTAGATGAAAATCAGTAAATAAAGAATTTAATTTATCGGCGTGTGATGTAAAATTTGATAAGTAAGCTTTTCATTATAGTAGTCGGTGCTGACGTGCCTGCGAAACAATACAATCAGTAAACAATGCAAATCAAAAGTATAAAAAAGATAATAAAAAGCCAGACAGGAATAACAAGAAGCGTACCGGAGAGAAAAACGATCATTGAGATATAAAAGCAATATGCGATTGTATTCATTTGCATATAGCAGAATATGCAACGTGGATTTCAATAAACCCTCCTGCTATTGTAAATTCAACTTCCAAATAATAGATATGATAACCACACATCAATAATCCTTTTCCTAAATGTTCAAACCCTGTACTGTTTATATTTCTTTTCCCCATAACCATGCATATATGCGCGTACACGAGTTAAACGACCCACGTACGGGTACCGTCGCTATAATAAAGGCGTAACAGGATCTTGGGGTCTCAGCTTGAGAATCTCAGCTACAATATAACTTGTAGATTATAACAAATTGTAGAGCCAATTTATGTTATTATGTTTTCCCTTTAGAATTGAGTAAACTCTGATACATAATAATTCCTAACATACTATTACTTGTGTTTTTCTGTATGGTGCATTTTGCATTGTGTATTGTGTATTGTGTATTGTGTATTGTGTATTGTGTATTGTGCGTTGTGCATCGGTCATATTTTCTCACGTGCTTGGCACATGCGCATTCAATGTTAATATTTAACTATTTAATTTATTCTGCACGCATGCATATACATGCATACAGATATGTAGATACATAATTTTTAAATATAAACTGTGAGTATGTTATTTTGCTTTTTGTGACCTTTAATTTATAATGGTAATTGAACTGAGTGGAGTGCAATTTGTATAGATAATAGTATGGTGTCGAGTACAAATTTTAAAAAACATGTACGAGTGAGTTTTTCATGCAAGGACTACCAAAATTGCATGAGTTCGAAGGACGAGTGCAATTTGAAGCCCTTTGAAAAACTCACGAGTTTATTTTTTTTTTAAATATTACTTATTAATTAATAATAAACATGAAAAAAGTATGCAGCCACGTGTGTAAGTCACATGGAAATAATTGATTCATTCATTTGGTTGGTTGTTTTTCTTGTATTAATTCTGCTGGAAATTGCCAATCAGAAAGCCTAAATAGTCAATGAATTTTGCGCTGTAATTCATTTTTTGGCACTGTATTTCATTTTTTGGCACTGTATTTCATTTTTTGACACTGTATTTCGAAAAAAGTGCACTGCTCTTAGCCAATCAGAATTGAGAAATTTTTTCATGTATATTATGACGACTGAAATCAAACGCGTATAATACAAAATCGCATGACGCGAAGCAGGAGTGCGATTTGTAAACACAAGTGTGACTTCAGTCCAAAATTGCACGACACGAGGTTCAATTTCCAATTTATTATATTCATTTTGAAACTAAACATTTTTTGTAAATCGGAAACGTTTTTGTTTGCACAAGACGCACCTCCGTTACCTCCCTGAGTGCTGTAGCATAGCAACAATAAGCAAACAAGATCAGTTTTTAGTTTTGTCAAATTGTATTTTATACGTTCAAAAACTGAAAAAATGTTAGAGAAATGAAGACATTCATAAAGAATAAGAGACAACACAAGTAAGTTTAAACATATATATTGTAGGTTTTATGAGTGATGCCCTTTGGCTTTGACAAGTTTGAAAGAAGTTTTGCACGGAAAACAGGCACAACGGGAAAAAGTCGGGCAAATTTATTTTTGCCCACCTAATTTTTTCCTTCCTGTAAGTCTATGATGGTTATTTTATCCAGTATATAAGATTCTGAAACATATATATGCCTCGTCTATATTTTCCAAACATTGAAATAACATGAAGTATATTTGTAGCTAATTGCCAAACATTGAACGCAAGTTCGCGTTGTGCGTCAACTTAAGTATTGCCACGGCAACACGATTATTTTTAAATGCAAAAATAGTTGAAAGTTTAGTACTTTTAACTATATAGGTACGTTATTTTACATTTTGTGAGCTTTGATTTAATGTAAAATTTAATCTGAAACTCTTCGTAAAATGTTTTGAAATATTCAGTCAAGTAAACTGCTTTTGCTGATAAACTGTTTTTACAGTATTGAAGTATATTCATAGTATTGAATAATTTCAGTTCGCATAACAAAGTTACATGCATAATTAGACGGCACCTAAAAATTATGGCTTCTACGAAATTTTCTATTCTGCAGTTCTTACTCTCACTGAGGACACCAATGATCCCTTGCTTGAAAGAGAAAAGAATCAGACTTAAAAATGACCTAAATAATTTTATAGGGTCTATACAGGGTGTATAAAAAAACTGAACAGATTTGAAATTGCTCTCAATTTCGCAAAACAGCTCGTGGTATCAAGTTTTTGTTATATATAGATTCCTTGAGTATACCTATAATGTAGAATAATGAGAAAAATACTCTAACTCAAAATGTGTAAACCTGGGGCGGTGGGGGGGGGGGGGCGTTTCTTATCCAACAAACTAAAAATGGCTTGCGCGCGAAATTTAAAAGCTTTAATCGTATTTTGAGTTAATGGATGGAAAATTTGTTGGGTTTTTAATTAGTGTTCAAAATTTCAGACATTTGGTTTAGTTTATGCTTAATTAATTAATGCCTTTAACTGATTTGCATATGCTGACATATGCAAACTGGCAAAGGCACTAATTAAGCATGCAAACGGCTGATTTTTTAGGAAAAATGTAAGTTTGCGTGAATAGTTAAAGGGCTTAAAATTTCGTGCAGCAATTAAACACCCAACACATTTTTCACTCATTAACTTAAAATACGATTACAGCTTTTAAATCTCGTGCGCAAGCCATTTTTAGTTTGTTAGAAAAGACCCCCCCCCCCTGGTTTACAAAATTTGAGTTCGAGAAATTTTTTATTATTCTACATTATAAATACCCAAAGAAGCTATATATATCAAAAACTGGATATTAATAGCTGATTTGCGAAATTGAGAGCAATTTCAAATCTGTTCAGTTTTTTTTTTGTACACCCTGTATAGTTTTGCGACAATTGTAAAGCTTAAAATACTCATCTATAATTCATGAAGAGATTTCAAAAGAAATGCCGAATGTTCATTTAATCTTTGCATAAGTCGGACACATGCAAATTTCGTCCTGGTTTACATTTTCTCGGCTAAAATGCAACATTATCGTCAAAATCAAATAGTTGGTAAACTTAATTATACTTGATGCATTTGTATATTTTAATTAGCTTGCTTTCACATCTTGTGTCTGATTTACTACGGCTATATAGCTAGCATTCTGCGCCCCGTGTAAACCAGATGCAGATCGCGCCTGCATGCTCACGCTTTATATATTACATAGAAATGTCCAACACTAGGCATGCACGAATCAATTAAATAAATAATCCGAGGAAAGGAAATCAATGGGGCGCCTATAGGCTATAGTCAATCCGTTTAATTGTAAAACGGGGTAATTTATGGGTAATTTATGCTGCAATTATTTACAATTAATGAATGTAGGCTGTTCATAC